ACAACAATAAATAACACCACTCACCACTACCACCAAACATCACCACCACCACTACCACCAAACTTCACCACCACCACTACCACCAAACATCACCACCACCATTATTACCACCACTACCACCAAACATCACCACTACCCCCAACAACAACACCAAACATCACCACCACCATCGCCACCACCCCATCGCCCACTAATGCCATCACCAACATCACTACCATCACCATCAGTTCGTCCAATCTCTTTGTAATTTAACACTGAGAATCCAATTCCTCTCATAATGTGAATTCCATATCCAATTTTCCCTCATATAGACTCTTATAGGCTCATCATAGGGCTTTAAAAATACTCTGTTGGTGGTGATGGTAGGTTTGGTGGTGGTGGTTGTGGTGGAGGCAGGTTTAGTGGTAGTTGTGGTAATGGTAGGTTTGGTGGTGGTGGTTGTGGTGGAGGCAGGTTTGGTGGTAGTTGTGGTGATGGTAGGTTTGGTGGTAGCTGTGGTGATGGTAGGTTTGGTGGTGGTGGTTGTGGTGGAGGCAGTAAATGTACGGGTGAGAGTAATAGATGTTGTGGTGGTGGTGGTGGTGGTGGTGGTTATGGTAGTGATTTATAACCAGCAATTGTGGTAGTTGTGGTGGTGGTGGGTGCTGGTTTTGGTTGTACAATAGTTGAGGCAGTGCGATTGTGATGGTGCGGGAGGAGGTGCACACACGCACGCACACAGGGTAACCTCACCATCGATCCTGGGGGCTTGGGCTGAAGGCTGACATTAAGGGCAGGTGAAACATTAATTACCTGCTTTGATGGACCGTCTACTGTAGCCCACACACCTGCTGGCTGCTGTAGGAATCACTGCTGTGTGCTGGTGTATCATTATTATTATTATTATTATTATTATTATTATTATTATTATTATTATTATTATTATTATTATTATTATTCCTCCTCCTCCTACTACTACTACTACTACTACTACTACTACTACTACTACTACTACTACTACTACTACTACTACTACTACTACTACTGCTATAACTCGATGGGATAGAGGACTCGTCAAGTGTGTTGGTGGGTTCGTTGTGTCATCGTGCCAGAGGGGACGATCAGAAGCCGATTATTATGAGAACTCTACAGCTGATGGCTCCTGTGAGAGCTAGCCCTTAAACTGGGTCACACTCGGCCAAAGGTCAAGGTGGCCGAAAATATCTCACTGTGAGAGGCGTATCAACATGGTTCTTCTTTTGGGGATATTTTTCACGTAATTGTTATCTGAATAAACTTGTTTGAAGTGTTTACATGTAAGGTATTATCGCCTCTAACAGTTGTTCACGGTAATATGTGTTATATAATTTTATCAAAAGAAAAAATCCAGTTAAATAAATCCCTTTGTCAAACAAAACCGTGTGAATCGCAATATTCTTTTTCCAATTAAAGAAAACGTGTGTTGTTAACAAGACAAACCAGCGAACCAGCTGAGAGGAAACATTGTCACGTGGAAACTAACTCAGAAACGCAACACACCTACTGCAGGCAAAACGATCTCTAGCCAAGGTGGACCTGATGCTCTGAGCTGATGACTAATAATTTTCCCATAAAAAATAGAAAACAGCCAATAGACTGGAGAGACAAACTCTACGTGTACCATAAACAGTGGGGCAAGACCTCCACGGTACCCCACCTAACACTCAGCAACACAGTAAGTTTTGTGGGGTGTTTCATCCAATTACTAAATGAAGTCAGATGAGATACATTGTTTAGATCAAGTAGGAAGAACAGTCAGTAGGTATCAAAGACTGTGAGGCAAATAGACTAAAGTAACTGGTGGTGGCGGTAAATGTGGCCGCCAAGATACGATACTTTTTTCAGGTGTACGACTACAGCGGACACATCCAGTATCTCAGTGGCTTGTGGATTACATCTGTCCACTAATTTTCGTCTTATTAAACCATCTAACTGCTTTCCTCATACCGCCATGCAGGATGAAGATGTATGTTAGGTGGTGAGGGGTTTGAATTATCGCCAAAATAATTGTCATAATGATTAACTTGTAAATATGGCGGCGGAGTAAAGGAAACATTCCAACACTTTCAATAGATTCAAAACACATCATGAGGGTTGTGTATTTTACTCAACGATCTAATAAAAAAGAACCACAGGATATCTGATAACATGTATACAGATTACGTTGAAGTCGCTTGTAGGAGACCTAACATACACACACACACACACACACACACACACACACACACACACACACACACACACACACATCAACAAGTAAAGACTATGTTTGGCGTCATAATACAACCACTTATACCAGATCTCCACACTGTATTATAATAGGTATGGGCATAAATACAACAATTAATTACTTATTTTTTTGTCAATTCACCCAAGGCAAAACGGCACGCGATCTTCTTCTCGTTTCTTAAGTGAGTTTAAAATATTTCCTTGTTCTTTCTCTGGTCTTACTTTCTACACATTAAAACAAACATTTATAGAGGAATTCACGGAGATAAATAATATTAAAATGATCAGACATCTTCACCTTAGGCCTACATACGTAACCCTGTGGCTGTACGTGTGTAAGCGAGTGTATTAGTGAAGAAGGGAGTTAGGGGTGGGAGTGAGGGGAGGAGTTAATGTGAGGTGGGGTGAGGAGGGAGCAATGTAGGGGTGGGAGTGGGTTAATGTAGGGGTGGGAGTGAGGGAGGGAGTTAATGTGGGGTGGGAGGGAGGGAGTTAATGTAGGGTGGGAGCAGGAGGAGTTAATGTGGGGGGTGGGGAGTGAGGAGAGTTAATGTAGGGAGGTGGGGTGGGGTGGGAGGGGCGGACGGGGTGAGGGAGTGGGGTGGGAGTGAGGGAGGGAGTTAATGTAGGGGTGGGAGTGAGGGAGGGAGTTAATGTAGGGGTGGGAGTGAGGGAGGGAATGAGGTGGTGAGAGGCAGCCCGGGGTGTTAAGAGGAAGCTGAGGTAATTGGCTCATGAATCTTGTCCCAAATTCACAAAGGCTCTTAGATGCATTTTCCCGCCTCTGGTGATACACTCCCTGGGCTGTGTGGAGGTACGTGCCAGGTAGCGTTAAGGGGTTTAATCATCAGGTGAAACAAGCTGGGGTTGCCTAAGCTTCAGGTGATCCGATAGACTGAATGATATTTATTCAGTAAAATCGTACAGTAAGATCTCATTGGCTCAGCGTGCACACAGAAACACACAACACGTTAGTATATATATGACTCCTACCAATATCAATAGCCTGTCAGTGTGTGTGTGTGTGTGTGTGTGTGTTTGTGTGTGTGTGTGTCCCGAAATCTCTCCCGGCAATTGAAAACGTCTTGGTACGCGCGCCGCTGGAGTTGGCTGCATGGTTCAGGATATACTGTAAAGGTCCTCCCCACCCACTGTGACTTGCCTCCTCCCGCCTCAAACACACCGTGAAGACTTGCTTTTGTTGGATAGATAGATAGATAGATGTTTATTCAATGAGATTTTCTTGCACGTTTACATTGATTTACTATGTAATTAAATTATTCAGATATGCAATAGACAGTACAGGTATACAAACGGTGTACATAGGCAGTACAGGTATACAATGTATATACGTGAACAGGTCGTCTTGTAGCCATTAAAAGGATAGTTTGGTCTTGGGTCAGATAAGGTCGTGTGTGTAGTGAGTAAGGTGAACCCTGGACAGACAGACGGCTGGTGATGGATGGTGGCTCGGGGGGGTGGGGGGGCTTCAGTAAATCCTCATTTCGTTCTCCTCCACCTCCCTCCTTTCTTCACCTTGTCTTCCTCCTGCTTCTCTCTCTGCGTACTTCGCCTCCTCCTCCTCTTCCTCCTCTCACCTTCAGTGCGATTGTATGTACAGATGGATAGTTGGATAGATGGATAAATGGAGAGTTGAGGGATGGATAGGAGGATAGAGAAATGGAATGATAGATGGTTAAAAATGCAAGACATACAGGTCGGAGAGAGAGAGAGAGAGAGAGATCAGCCTTACCATTAGCACCACATTTCCTCTCCCATCAACGCGAGTATCCAGTAGCACAGTTGGTGGCACTTGGCCCTCAGTTCTGGCACCACCACTACCACCACTACCACCACCACCACCACCACCACCAACCACCACTACCACCACCCCACTTCATGCAAGCAGCGGGGGTGGTGGTGGTGGTGGCGGCGGCGGAGAAATTAATTGAATAAGCTTTTAACTTGTTGGGTCATAAATCCAGTGAAACGAGCCAGTTAGGTCGTTGTCTTGTTTACGTTGACTCGTTAAAGGTGTCGTTTGTCGGGGGGTCGTTAAGGTATCGTTGGTATGGTAAGAGGGGGGAGGTAGTTAGGGAGGATTGTCATGGGCGTAGTTATTATCGTCATGGGGTGTTGGTGTAATATAACCTCTATGTCGCACTGACTTAGGGAAGGGTCGTGGTTAGGAGTTGTCGTGGTTAAGAGTCGTCTGTGGGCGTAGTTGAGGTACATTGTTTTAGGCTGTAGCACTGTGGTGTAGTTGTGGCACTTTCTTTTGGGAATTAAAACAAGACACTGTCGGGATCTTTATAGTACGGTTCTCTAAGGTGTAGTCAACCACGGCCAGGAGTCGTGCATGGTAGGTATACGTGTGTCAGGTGTAAGTCACTGTGGGTGTTCCTCTAAAGTGTAGCTGTACTGTATGACTTTAAGGTGGCTATAAATAATAATAGTGTAATGTTTACTTGAGCAGGAACCTCTGGGTCAGGGGGAGATTAGGCACCCCAGCTAACCTCATCTAACCTAACCTAACCTATCCTAATATACATAGCGTTCTATCTCTCATAAGTTTTATTTGTTGATGGACTTGCTGCACGCTTAAAAACCTTAATTGTTGAAGTGCAGTTTTAGCATTAAAACGTCAACGTCATTTAACATCAGGTGAAATAAGTTGGGTTGCCGCTCTTTTGGTTCGTCACAACAAGATGTCACCATCGCCTGACCTAGGATACTATTCTTGTGTTGTTTTGTTACTGTGCTTCAGCAACTAGGGTCTGAAGCACGTACTGTAAGTGGGTCCACATACTACACAATTATTGTCATTACGCACGAAAGTTCCTTCTCTATTTTGCTAAATCTGCCTTGTGTGTGGAGAACGTTGGCTGAGCCCCGCCCGCCGAGCCATGTGAGGGAAGGAGGGAAAGAGACCCATTTTTTCTGACTTGGATTCGTTCCTACTCCATTATTACTGGAGGGAGGCTCCACTCCAGCATTACTGGAGGGAGGCTCCACTCCAGCATTACTGGAGGGAGGCTCCATTCCAGCATTACTGGAGGGAGGCTCCACTCCAGCATTACTGGAGGAAGGCTCCATTCCAGCATTACTGGAGGGAGGCTCCATTCCAGCATTACTGGAGGGAGGCTCCATTCCAGCATTACTGGAGGGAGGCTCCATTCCAGCATTACTGGAGGGAGGCTCCATTCCAGCATTACTGGAGGGAGGCTCCATTCCAGCATTACTGGAGGGAGGCTCCACTCCAGCATTACTGGAGGGAGGCTCCATTCCAGCATTACTGGAGGGAGGCTCCACTCCAGCATTACTGGAGGGAGGCTCCATTCCAGCATTACTGGAGGGAGGCTCCACTCCAGCATTACTGGAGGGAGGCTCCACTCCAGCATTACTGGAGGGAGGCTCCATTCCAGCATTACTGGAGGGAAGCTCCATTCCAGCATTACAGGAGAAAACCTCTTGCTCCAGTGTTCCAGGAGCCTATCTAGCGGGAGGGAGATCGTGGAGGGGAGTGAGGGATGGAGGGAGGGAGGAGGAGGTGCAGACTGCAGCAGCTGTCGCGAGGAGGGAGTGACGGGCCTCCCCACGTTGGTGGCAACGCTCACCAATATGTGGACTAGGACAGGCTGTCGCTCACCACCTGCCTGCCTGATAATACTAATGGCTCGCTTGTCGGCGGCCCTCAATGTGGCCACGGCTAAATGTCGAGTAAATATATTGTCGGTGGATCGAGGCTGCAGTGGTGAGGGTGAGGGTGACAGGCGCCGTCCTCCAGCTGGTGATGCCTCTCAGTGGTGGTGTGCGACCTCCTGCACTTGCTGTATGGCGCCTCGCCAGCACTGTGTGTGGCTCACGACTCATGTGTTTTTTATGTTTACCCTTATTAACGGTGTTTTCTAGCATGACTTTATCTAAACTTTAAATCTACTAAAAGCTTGACCATGGTCGTAGACGGTTAAGAAAATAAGCTTCAGCACATAAATAGTTAAAAATATTACTCCTTAACCTCTCGTGACGATAGACTTGAGATCCTGAGGGATGAAAATGTTAGTTAATATTCAGTTATATCTAAGGTGAACACCGCCACCACACAGGAACTACTGCACCCACACTATTAATTATTCTGAATAAATCATCCGAATATCCTTATCTCATCTATGTTCTGTGGCTGTGGAACATTTTTACTCGTGTAATTAATTGTCTGTAGTGTCGTCATTAAGCGTGACCGGGTGTAATGGCCGTCCTCGTCCACAAGCTGGCCAGATTCCCACACTCACTCACCAGCCTCCTCCTGACTGTTTATCTTGTAGATGAATGTCAAATATTGTCCCTGGGCGAGAGCAAAGTTGGCATTTTCAGCTTCTCTCTCGTGTTGGTGTGTGTTTGTCCCGCCGCCTCGCTGCCCTGCCCAGCGTGCATCACAGTGCTGTTATGGACGTCTCTGGCCGGGGTGGAGGGGGGGGGGGATAGGCTTAGCGAAACTCACCCAATATCAGATCCGAATCCGGAACCTAGTTAAAGTTAACAAAGCTCAACCTTATCTAAGAGTATTGGGCTTCAAAATAGCCTACACAGGTCACTGGCTTCCTTCCTCGACATGGCCACCTCTAGTGGGTGGCCATTAGGTAAAATTGAACTTAAAGTAACCCGCACAGAACTTGCATTGACGAGCCCTCCCGTAACCGAACTTACCCTACCTGACCTACCTTACCTGTAAACTAACTTACTTGATTTACCCGATTTGAAACCTAACCTAACCTAACCTACCCCAAACATAAGATAACTCCAGCTCACCAAACTTGCGGAACAAAAAAAACTTGGCCCCGTCCACGCGTGTTCACTTTACCTTGCCAACTTTATACATTGGGGCCACAGATTCTTAAGTGTTCGTAAGATTATTTCTTTCTCTTAAATGGTGATGCAAAAACACAATAAATTCTTCAGACTTGCTAATTTAAACCATGGCACCTTGATAATGGTCTATGAGAGGGTCGATGCTATACATTTTGATAGTTTGTCGTCACCGTATACGTTCTCGTAAGGAATTTTAGGAATCCGGATCCAATGCTTAAATTTCTACTCACTATTCTGTGTTTGTTTTTCTTGTCTCATGATCTATTGTTTGTCTTCTCATATGATGTCTAACGTGAGCACTAGAGTCACTCTCTGCACTAAATCAACATATTACCGACTGGACAAGAGCATATGCCCGCCATTATCTTGCATTAAATATCTGTCCGTGTGTCAGTGTTGTACTATTGTTGTTCTGGTGCATCGAGACCCTCCCCTCACCAACACCTTGTATCTCAGTGTGGCAGGGAGGAGTAAATGTATCCTTGTATAGTTTTATGTTTCTGAGATAAGTTTTAAGTAGTTATTGTACAGGATAATATGGATCACCTGAAGATTATCCCCTCTAACTTATTTTACTTTGTGATTAACCACCTTTGAGCTAACATCACCTGTAATCTCCCCAAGGTAACGTTAGGGTGTTTAATTATCAGATGAATTAAACTAGAGTGCCTAATCTTCAAGTGATCCGATAAACTACGTGTGCTGTGGTGGGTCGAGGCTGTGTTCATCGAGCCTTACTATTAGTCTACCACGCAGGGTTTGTTGCCTCGGTAAGCCATCGTCAGAAAATGCAAATTCATTGTTGGTGAATCTGCCAAAAGACAACAGTTCCCTCGCCATTGACGTCACATCCTCGTATCTTATTGGCCTTGTGATGTGTCAGTCTGGCGCTGAGAATACCCCCCCTCAGATCTCTCCTCTTAGGCCCCCTTGTCTTCATACTCAATTAGGAAGGTCTCGACTAAATCTGATTCGCTGAGATACCAAATGTTTGAGTCATGTTTGTGGTCTCGAGGTAGAGGTGTGTGTGTGTGTGTGTGTGTGTGTGGTGCAGCTCGTCAAACTCCCTCTTGCCTAAGGTTTCCTGGATATATCGATCGCCACAAGTCTTGTCAGTGAGTGAGTGAGTGAGAAAGAGAGAGGGGCCTTGTGTTGACGACCAGTAAGATTGTAGGTAACGTGAGGCAGATTATTGTCATCTCTCTCTCTCTCTCTCTCTCACACAAAGACCTACACTCATGCTTAATGGGTACATCCGCACGTTCCCCCACCAGGTCGCGAATACTCTTTTTCTAACCAAGAGGTTAATGGAATGATTCAAAGCTGTGAGTCTTTGTAACTCTCGACGCAGGACTCTGAGAGGACCCAAGGACCCTACGTGTATCAACGGGCCACTTCCTCTCTCACCCCTTCCCTCCCCTCTCCTCTCCTCACCCTCTCCCTCTACTCGCCATCCTCCTTCTCTCTCTTCACCCTCCTTTCCTCTCCTAACCTTCTGTTCCCTCACCCCACTTCTCTCTCCTCACCGCCCCCAACGCCTTTCCTCTCCCTTCCCTTCCCCACTCCCTCTCATCTCCTCTTTCACCTATCCCATCACTCTCCCCCTCCTTCCCCTTTCCCCACAACCTCCCTACCCCAGAATGACCCCCCTCCCCCCACTGGGTCACCAACTCCACCTTTAGCGAGTCTTCCTTGATGGTGCTGTGTGTCTGTCCTCAAAGGTCCTCTCCACACACGTCACTTGGCGAGTCTCTTCTCACAGCTTTTACCTTTTTATTTTTACTTTTGCAGTTTCCTCCTCCTCCTCCCGTCTCCTTTCTTCTCTTAGTGCCTGCTTACTGTTTGCTTACCTACCTGCTTTTGTGCCTGCTTAATGTCTACCTACCTGACTTAGTACCTATTTTAAATGCCTGCTTACCTACCTGCTTGCTTTAGTGCCTTCTAGCACTTCCTGCTGTGTATAGGGTGTTGCCTGCGAACCTGGAATACCATGAGTGCTCGCTTGTGTGTGTGTGTGTGTGTGTGTGTGTGTGTGTAAGGTAGAGTGACACACAGGTGATATTATGGCATTGTTTGTCGGTGAAATTGAGTTTCAGTGCTTCGAACTTTGTCTCTGACTCGCTGCTGTAGCTGGCATTGTTAGCCTTGTCATTGTGTTTCATTGAGGCATCAGTTGAAATCGGTGGTGTATCATTAGTAGTGTCAGGTATACCATGTTTAGGTGCGTTGTATACTATATGTTTAGTGGTCTTGGTATGTTTATGACTGGCTCTCGTAACGTTATCAGAAGAGTATTGGAGGGGGTCATCAGTCGGTGGTTGGAGGAGGGGGTCATCAGTCGATGGTCGGGGTGGGGGGTATCATCAATCGGTGGTTCGGTGGTCGTGAGGGGCGGTGTTCTGCGTCATCTGCATATCAATAACCTGAGCACACAAGACCACTAGTGATTAGAGGGAACAGGTCCTCCTTCTTCGGCATAGAGATGAGCACCTTCAGAGAGCTGTTCATTTCATTATCTGTGTCTGTACCGAGTGTTTGGCTTGATGAAGGGGCGGGGGGTGTAATCCTAATTGGAGGATTTTTCTGACACGATAATTTCCCCGATGTCATTGTAACTTCATGTGATTTATTTTGTTGTGGTCTGTGTCTTAGCGTTGTCTGTTGGTGGATTTGGTGTTTGTGTGGAAATCCAAGCCACCATGTTAAATTTCTGTTGTTTTTATTCTTGTTAATCTGTTTTATCTTTGGATGATATAAGCTGGGGCGGGGGGAGGTTTATCTTCAAGCGATCCTTTCTTTTTGCTAATCGTTAAAGTCTTGGTTGCTTTACACACTACGGTAGGCAATAGTACTTGGGTAACGTGGTGTATTTGTGATGACCAATTTGTTATTTCATTTGATTCTGTATTTCTGTTTTAGCTTCGATATCAATTCCCTTTTGATATTCGACTTTTTTTTTTCATAATCATTCTCTCTGTCTCTCAATTATTAGTGAAGTTCTCTGTCTCTTGCGCGTCATGACCGGCATCTCTCAACCTCTCTATAAACTGACAAGATTCACCATCGTTCGTGAAATTCAAACTTCAACTCTAGGAGAAAAAAAAATCGACAACCAGAATGCAATTATTATGGAAATGTTGCCCCCACAAAGAGATGTTTTCAGTCTTGGGGAAAGTCATATTTAAAAAGCCTTAACAAATAGAAAATCCTGACAACCTTGAAATATCTTGAGCTAAACTGACGGAAACTCACTGTTCATCACCATGTTTCTAATCCGTTGGTGTTGTGAGTTGTTTTGAACAGACTTCGAGTGTACGTTTATTTTATTGGTATAAATGATTGATATTACGGGTGTGGGAGAGTTTTATTATTGCTACATATGACTTTTTGTTGAATAAAATTGAACAAGATCTGATACACAAACCTTTTCTTACTCGTTAACTGCTATTGTCTAATGTTTTACTTTCCTCTTCGTGCTTAATGACTTTAGGTGAACACTAAACCTTGTTATTGGTGTTCTTTAACTTTCCAAAACTGACTTTATTTTACGCGTTTAAAGACCTCAGTTGTTTAGTTGTTTA